TTTTTTAATTTCTGAATCGATTAGGATTTAATCAAATCAAAATAAAACATGATTTGTTCAAGGGGAAACGAATTTTTTTTTTTTTTTTGTTGAACAGAAAATAGGAAAGGAATGAAAAAAAAAACAAAAATCAAAACAAAATCAAAAGTCAATTCAGTAAAAAAAAAATGATGATAAGAAATTAAATTTGAAAAAAAAGAAAGAAAGAATCCAAATAAACGATACTTGAATTTTTAATCGCAAATAACTTGGCGCCTTTCTTGATAGAATTTTTTATTTATTTTTTATTTATTTCAAATAGAAAAACGAAAAAAAAACAAACCTGAGTGGATGGTGTATGGCACTTGTGCGTATCGGAAAAAAATGAATTCGAATTGGAACATTGATCCATGTCGATTTTTTTTAAATTTATGCTGACAAATACTAAACCACTGGTATTTTTTTGTGATTTGATTGATAAATCAATAATGTTGATTTTTCCAACATGATGATGATGATGATGATATTATTCGTTTGATGATTAGCAGGGATTTTTTTTTTGTTTAAAAAGGAATCGAATGATGTGATGGGAAATGGAAATGAAAAATTAGAAACAAAATTTAATATAGACATAGAATGGTGATGATGATGATTGGCTTGAAATTGAAAATTTTTAGCATTTTTTTTCAAAAGAAATTCGAATCAAATTGTCATTTTTTTGTATGTGTGTGACAAACTTTTGGTTATTTTTAGCATTAAAATCATAAATAATTTTAAATTTGTAATTGTACTTTCTCGAAACTTTTAAACATTTTGTTCAAGAATGTTTATAGGAAACAAAAAAAGGTGTTTTTTCCTGAAACATTTTTTGTTTCTCTTTTTTTTTGGAAATGAAATTATTATCATATGGCTTCACCATTGTTTGGTTGATTCTATGGAATTATTTTCTGATATTATCAACAGAAAAAACAGCAAACAAACGTCATTGAAAAAAAACGAAATTATTCTGTGAATCGTCATCATTTAGTAATTTAATATGGATGATAACTTTTTTTTTGTTCCTTCTCTCTCTCTCTCTCTCACTTTCTCAAAGCAACAACAACAAAAACCCATTCAACATTCAGCAGTTTTTTTTTTGCTCGATTTTAATAAAGTTTCCTAATTTCCAATCATATATCTTCCTTATAAGTATCTATTTCTTATTTAATTCTGTTCACGAATAACTTTATTCTTTCTTTCTTTTCCAGTAAAATTCTTTTAGAAATTTTATTTGTTTGAATTTCTCATTTTCTTTTCTTGTTCTCTCTCTGTTCAGTTTAAGGCTTAATTGGTTTGCGAATAAAAGAATTCATCTCATCTATCTATCTATAGGTTTGTATTTGTTTTTTAATCACTTTTTTTTCATTATTTTGATCCCGAATTCTTTATTTTTTTCCTATTCCATTCTGTTTAATGTTTTTTTCATTTCCTTTCTTGAACAAAATGAAACAAACATGCTATCATATGATTGCAAGAATTAAAAGAATTGAACAAAAAAAAAAAAATTCTCCATGTTTTTTTTCTCATCAATTCTTATCGAAAAAATAAAAATATAAATTTAGTTTTTTCGTACCAAAAACTAAATTTCAAATTGTATATCAACACCCGAACACAGAATCCATATAATAATTTTTAATGAATTTTGTCTACTTTTTCTTCTTCTTCTTCTTGTTACTTTGTTCGTTTTCTGTAAATAATTCATTTTCTTCAAGTTTTTCAGCAAAATAGAAACTTCCCGAAAACATGCTGGAATAAAAAATGAATTTTCTTTTCTTTTTTTGTTGAAAAAATTTTTAACCTTTCTCCTGGCTCCTTTTTACATTACATATTTTGTTCATTTTAATAGATTTTTGTTCTCTCTTTTTTTTTGTCTGGCCTGAAATGATTTTCTGACGGTAATTTTTGATTGAAAACAGAATCATTTTCAAATGATGAAAATGCTCCTGAAACCAGCATCAAAGATTATAATCTTGTTTTTGATTCATTTGAAAAAAAAAATGAAAAATCTTTTGCTTTTCAATTTTGATTTTTGATAATTTTGATTTCTACTGGTAATCATTATTATATGTGATTGATCAAAATCATAATCATAACCGAAAAGATTTTATTATCATTATCATTTCATTTCAGTTAATTCACTTTTTTTGTTTCTCTCATAAAAATCAATGGATAATGATGATCTTTATGGATGTGAATTGAATGAATAAAAGAGAGAAAATATAGAAAAAGAAGAAAAACTAAAGCAAAATAAAAAAGCCGAACAGAGAAAGAATCTTAATGACGATGGTGATGATGATGATTCTCTGTTTTCTTCGTATAGGCGGGTGATGAAACAAGACGACTAAAAAAAAACAATAATAATAATGAAAGAAAAAACCCAGAAATGAAAACATCATCTGAAACACACACAGAATTAGATTTTCATTTTCTTTATCTTTATTTTTTTTCATTTTGTTTGTATTCTTGTATGCGTGCGTGAACGTATAGAACGAGATAGAGAGAGAGAGAGAAGGATGAACAACTGTATAATAAAATCATGATAAAATGACATGTTTGGAAAACAAAACAAAAAAGACATTAAAATATATTCGTGGACAAGAAAAAAAAGAAAACCGGCCAAAATAGAAATATAGTTGATTGAATTTGGATCGGTTTTAAAACTTGTTCCTTCTTATTATATATAAGTAGCTTGTTTGTTTCAAAATTGAAATATTTTTATCCTGTTTCAGTTTTAGTTTTTTTTTATTTCATGAAGCAGGTGTATTTTTTGACATTAACGTCATTTTTTTCTTGTGTTTTTTTTTGGTAAAGAAAATTAAAAAAAGAAAGAAGGAATGAATGGTGAAGAAGAAGAAGAAGAATATAACAGAATTCGTTATTCAAAAATAAAAATGCAAATGAAATTGATCTTCCTCTCAAAAGTGTGTCATAAAAAGAAAGAAGAAGAAGAAGAAGAAAATAGCGAAATTTATTCATCGTTAAATAATTGTTTGATTTGAATAGGATCGATTTTCTTTTTTTCTTTTTCTTTTTTTTTGTATACTTGGATAACAAAAGCTAAACAACAGCAGAAAAAAAAACATTCAAGTGGATTTTAATTGTGAACTTAGTTTTTTTTCTTAAAGAAAAAACTAATTTAAAATTTTTGAAAAAGGATGAATGAATAGGGGGAGGAAAATATTGAATCTAAAACTGCAAATTGAATTCCTATATGATAAGCATAGTTAATGCAAACACTATACGCCTACGCCATTAATTAAGGTCTATGGGAGAAAAAAAAAAAGATTCTCTTCACCTTCTATATCGGTATATTATTTCATTCTGATTCCTTCAATGATAAACGATCATCAATCTACTAATGAAGAAAAAACCGAATAGATGATTTGTTTGTTTGTTTTTTTTTTCTATTTTGAAAACCATCAACAAAAACATTAACAAGAAAAGGAAATAGAATCGCTGCATAAATGAAAATTAATCAATTTGAATTTTGATGATAATGATGATGTTATATAATATTTTTTGCTTTGAATAATGTCATTATTCATTATGTAATGTCAATAATAATGATTTTTTTTCTCTCCAAATTTTTATCATTATTATCATAATTACGTTATTTTGTATATTGTTGTTGAATGAAAAATTTATGACAAATAAATGAGTAAGAGAGATGAAACTAAACGGCTTGATAACAAACACCTGCATTGACAGACATAAATAGTGGGATAGTGGGAGAGGGAGAGGGAGGTAGAATAATATTATATTGAAAGATTCTAAGAATTTCTAAGATATTTTTTTTCATTTCTTGTGAAAAAGAATGATGAGAAATTTCGTATATTTTTATTTATTTTTTGAAAATAACAACATTGGTATATTGTGAATAAAATAATGATTACTTTTTCAACACTAATTTATTTACCTGGAATTTTCTTGCAAAATTATTTTTAGATATGATATGAGATGGAGAATTAGATTGGACCTTTCTTCAACAATATCGACATTATTAGTCGAATCAAATCTAATAAGTTTGTTTTTGTTGCTGTTGTTGAGGAAAAAAAATATCGTCAATTTTTATTTGAATTTCAATTGAATTTTAGCGAGAAAAAAAACATTGAAATACAAAGACAAACAAGTATAAAAAAACCAATTGACTAATAGCTAATATGAATGAACAAAACAATTGGATGTGTGTGTGTGTGTGTGTCGGAACTATTGTCGATATGGAAAAATAGACATATAGTAGACATAAACATTTGACAATGGATGGGGGGAGAAAAATGAAAAATTCTTGAAAGTTTATTTTTTTTTGTTCCATAGAATTTATTTAAATTATTCTTTTTTTCATCTTTCTCGCTCTCGTCATTTCCTATTCTTTTAACTTTTTTTCCCCCAATCAGTACAATAGAAAACAGAATAAAACAATGAACAAATGATTGAATGAAAGCGGACGACAACTACACCAAAAAAAGAGCTCATCATCTTCATTTTCAATTATGATTTTCGTTTGTTTTACGAAAGTTTTACTTTTTTTTTTTTTTTTTTTTTTTTTTTTAAAAAATTTTTTTTTTTTTTTTTTTTTTTTGTTTCATTCGATTCATTTCTCATTAAAGTTTCTATATTCTATTGAATTATCTGTTAGGTTTTTTTTTCTCGGTAAATGGTTCATTTTTTTTTCTTCTCTGGTTCTCGTTCATTAATTTGAACAAATAATAAAAAAAATGATGCTACTGTTTTGCTAAAATTTATAACTTACATTAAAATTGGTGAATCATCAATGATTCCATAGAAAGGCACTATGTAACTAATGAGCCATGTTTTTGTTATACCACAGTCAAGATATGGACTTGACCAAATACCCATTCTATTGTATGCAATATTTAGATTATTATTATTATTCGATTGTTGTTGTTGTTGTTGATTCAAATGATGTTGTTGTTGTTGTGTTGGCAATAATGATGATGATGATGATGTTGATAGTAATGATGATGATGATTGCCATTCATCTAAAATTTCTTGTCGATAATTGGAATAGGCAAATTTCCAATACCATTCTGATTGAAAATATTCTTGATCATTTGTTGTTGATGATGATGAATATTGTTGCTGTTGTTGTTGTTGATGTTTATGATTAAAAAGATTCATACGAATAGTATTATTAGAATGTTTTGAATGTTCATCACGATAAATAAATGGAGTAAAATGTTTAAAATTTGGTAATATTTCATCAAGGAATTTATTTGAAAATGAAAGACCAGCTCCAAATATTTTCGTATCACTTTGTAAATTAGCTAATAATAATGACCAATAAAAATCTTTATTTGTTATTAAATAATGTAATGAAACATTTTCACGTAAATTTTTAAAACTAAATAAATTTGATAAAAAATGTGATGTACGTATGGCAATATCGGCTTGTTGATCAAAACGATTATAAACATTATTTGATGATGATGATTCGGATGCGGATGATGATGATTGTTTTTGATTTGAATCAAAATTATTTAAAATTGTAAAATTTAATTGATTCAATGAAACACGTCTACAATTGATTAGATCATTATTTGTAAAATTATTTGTTAAATCAATAAATTTTAATATTGCGCTTATATTATGTAATTGTTGTAATGTATTTAATATTTGTATATCTTGATTAAAGCGATCATTATCAAATTCATTATCGGATGTTGATGTTGTTTTTATCGATGATGATGATGATGATGATGATGATGACCAATCAAATAATTCATCATAATTTTTATATGTATCCGGATATAATTGTAATAATGTTTGTGTAGATGTTGTTTGTGGTATTTGTACAATCGATACAGCGGTTGTTATTGTTACAAAAGCCGATATTGTTAAACAATTATTTTGATTAATATTAGCTAATAATATGATTATTATTATATAAATGATTGAATATAATTGTAATCGGTTATATGTCGATGATGATGATGATAATAGTTTTTGTCTATTATCATCATTATCATTATCATTATTATCATTGAAATTGGTAAACATTTTTGAATCGAATACATCTATGATGGTGGAATATGATCTTGAATGACAATTTGATCGTTGTTGATTTTGTTTATTTTGTTGTCGATATTGTTGACAATCATTATATGCAATTATATTCATTTTTAGATGATTTTTTTTTATTATGTCACATTAGTTGTCATCATTATTATCGTCATTATCAATATTATCATTTGATAATCTTTTCATTTCAGTCATAAACATGTTTGGATTAATCAATTTGATTGTTGTTGTTTTTCGTTTGGCAAACAGATTCCTGAAATTTATAGAATTTTTTCCCTATTATCGTTGTTGGTGTAGCTTATTTCCATTATATTTTTGATTAAATACATTTTGGATTTATTATCATTCAATAATGGATAATAAATCCTTTATTTCCTTTTTTGAATGAATGTGAATGAATAAAAAAAAACGTGACAAGGAAATTTGACCTTGTTTTTGTTGCGTGCTGATTTATTTTTTTGGTTATCTAAATCATGAATGGTGTCATAATCAATGATAATCAATTCATCAATTTGAATTGCCAAAAATCACGAAAAATTGAAATTTATTCATTGAAAATCCCCCCAAAAAAAAATTCATAATTTCAACAAACACAGAACCAGAATAAAAATATCCAGAATTTTGGAAAAAGAAAACACAACAAAACCAAAACCATAAAATAAATCATACAAATGAATTATAAATAAGTCCAACAAAAAAAATTTATAAAATCTATTATTATGTTAATGAGAGACACACGATTGAAAGATGCAAATTCATTTATTCATTCATTTTTGTTTTGTTTTGTTTTGTTTTGCCTTGTGTTTGAATAATTGAATTATAAACGGAATTCTTTTTTTTTCTTTTGTTCATTCCTATTTGCTTGTTATGAATTTTGGAATTTTGTTTTGTTTCGTTGCTGTCATTGTTATTTTTCATTACATAATGGTTATCACCGAGAAATTTTATTTTTTTGGTTATAAAAATAAAATATCTATTAATTTACTGATGAACTTTACTGATGTTCAACTCATTTTAATTTCATTTTATTTTGATGGCTTTGAAACATCTTTATCTCATTTTATTTTACAGCACACTAAATATTTTGATTACATGTAGGAAATGGTAAAACACACACACACACACACAAAATTCACAGAATATTCACAACAGAATTTTCGCTTTGAATACCATCAAGCATTAGTTGCTGTTGAAAACACCGTAAAATTTGAATGTTTCTTTTCCTGAACAATAAAAAACATAGAATATATATAGGCATTTTCAACTAGATGTTTGTTTTGATTCCTGTTGTGTTTGTTTTTTTGTTTTTGTTGTTTTGTTTTTCTTTTGAATTATGTCCAGTTGATTTAGCATTCACTAAAACATTATATGTTGAGAAAATGTGTTGAAAAAGTGAACAAGAAAAATAAAATCAGTAAAGAAGTCAAAAAAAAAAAGATTAAAGTTTTCAGTCGATCGGACATTGATGTTTTGTTTTGGCTTTTTTTTGCTGTTGTTGTTGTTGTTGACTGAATGAATGAATGAATTTTTATGAAAATTGAAATTTTGTGCGCACCAAATTGATTGAAAAACAAAAAGCAACTTAAATGCAGAATGTAGAGAAGAGGATTATATAACGATAAAATTTCTGGAATAAATTTGTCACACATAAACCAAAATGAAAAAAAAAGTCAAAGAGAATGAAAGAATGGAAAAAACCTAAACCACAAAATTCACAAAACAAAACACTTTTGACTTTTGTTGTTGTTGTTGTTGTGAATTCTTTTGATTGTTGAATTGAATTTGGAATTTTTTTGTTTTCTTCATTCGATTGTTGAATCCAAATGATGATGATGATGACAAATAATCAACCGAAACAAACGAACAAAAGAGAAATTTCCAAATGGAACAAACAATTCAAATTCAATAGCAGCAGCAGTAGAGAAACAAAAATTGATGACATAACAGAAGGAAATGCAAGAAAATGGCAAAAACTCAGTTAAAATTCATTTTCATCAACTTTTGATAAAGATTATTGTCGTCGAATGAATGCATCGTTACACACAACACTAAATAATTTTTTTTCTTCTTTTTTTTCATTTAAATGGATCATTTCTGAAACTTGGAAATTGATCTTTGTTCATATTGTTGATGTGGTTGTTGTTGTTGTTGTTGTTGTTCATGATAATCATAATAATCATCATCATTATAATCGACGTCGTTGTCGACGTCGTCATTGTCGGCTGTATTGGAACAGAATAATAATAATGAAAAATATATTCTATAAATGAGCAGTAGCATCGGTTGATGTTTAAAAACTTTTCTGTGTGTGTTTTTTACCGAAAAAAAATGAAAAAGATAGCCACTGTTTTTTTTTATTTATTTGATTTCTTTTGTTCAGAAAGAAGAAATCAAATATAAAAAAAATAAGAAATAGAATAAAGAATGCAAAAAAGTTTTTCACTTTGCTTGTTTGGTTATTTTTTATTTTCTCGACCAAGTCGATCTAGACTAGAATCGTTTTTTTTTCATACAATGCACACGCACACACACATGGATTCCATAATGATGTTTGAATCTATGTTTTTTGTTTGTTCGTTTGTGTGACTATATTGATGTAAATGGTGAATTGTTTGGGCGATGCGTATTTGTAGGTTGTTGTGAATCGACTGAAAATGGAAAAAAAAGTAAAGTTTTTGGCTCGACGTTTAGCTTGTGTGTGTGTATGTTACGGAAAAACAGAATATAATTCTTTTTTGTCTCATTTTCCTTGTTTTTTCTCTCTTCTTCTTCTTTCTTTGACTAACAATGATATCATTCCATATATATTCTGGACATTTATTTTATTTGTTGTTTTTGGTGATGAATGGCGCAAGCTTCGAACAAAATTCTTTTCTTTTCGATTCTTTCCTTTTCGATTCTGGAAACAAGACTGTATATGTTAACAGAATGTGTATGTTGTGTGCATGGGCCAACCAACCTAGATATCATCATAGAATTACCGCTATCCGTACCACCACCATTTTGATCAAAAAAAAAAAAATTCTTTTCCCATTCTATTTAGCTTTCAAAAGAAAAAATTCTTTCACTGAAACACTATTGAATTGAATCAAAGTTTTTTTTTGTACATTACATTAAAATCATAAACGTGTTACAATCACCAATGCTACCATCATCATCATCATTATCATTTATATACACCAATTCATTTTCGTTTTCAACTACATTACATTGCACCCAATGATTTTGGATTGGATTTTTTTTTAGTTGTTGGTTTTTTCTTCCTACTTTATTCTCAATCTATATTGAATCATTTTGGGCGCCAAACCATTCAAATAACAATAATAATAACAAGTTATAATGATATAGTAGTTTGTTCTGAATCATTTAATACTAACGTTATATAGATTTATATTCACACACACGCACATACACAGAATCTAGAATATGTGGCACAGAATATGAAAATATATGTGGCCAGAATATATGGATTTTTGTTTTTGTCTTGTCTATCCAGTTGCAGAACAAAACAAAAAAAAATCTTGTCATAGATATAAAAATGTAAAAGATGTTTGGACATGAAACGAAAAAATTCTGCATCTCTTTTTCTTCATTTTATGTTTTGAAAAAATGGGTGTGATGTTTGTTGTTGTTGTTGTTGGTTTTTTTTCTTTTTGCTGGCCCATATAGCCCAAAACTATTTAGAGTATATTTTGAATGTAGTAGACAATGTGTTAGTAGTTTGGGATGTGATAGTGGTTGGGTACTGAAATTTCTGTTTTTATTTTTTTGGTTTTTGCATCTCACTCATGTCAAGATGCTACAAATAATATCATATACACACACACACACACACATACAAGAATAAGTGGTTGTCAACCATTTTTTTCTTCGTTTCTGAAACTTATCGATTTGAAAAGATTATTATTATAATAATAGAAAAAAAAATTCAATAAATATTTTGCCAGGCATATGTTTGGAAAGCTTATTTTTTTAAGCACAATAGGAAAACTGGATATACCAAGAAGAAGAAGAAAAAAAAATTATGTCTTTCTTTTTTTATTAGTGTCTCCAATAGTTTGAAAATCCAGAAAATGAAATGGACCGAATCCAAACATTGCATATGCATTTTTCCATATATAAATCAAATGACATCGATTGGATGGTAAAAGTGTAGAAAGATGCGGCGTCGACGGCGACGGAACGAAAAAAAAATCATTACTTCAATGTCCATATTTTGATTTATAAAAAAAAAGTTTTACTTTTTCTTCTTTTGTTTGGTTTACTGGATTGCTCTCTTTTTGTTTCTGGTTTTCATGTTTTTATCAAATCTATGTAATGGTACGATTTTATTCAACTTTTTTTTTCACCATTTCAGATTTCTTAATGGTATTCACACACACACATGCACATTATTAGTAATCAGATTTGTTTGGCTTTTCTTTCATCATCATTATCGTTGACATCATTATAATTTCTGTATGAATGAATTTCGAATCCTGAATGTTTTGTTGTTTATTTTGTTTTTGTCTTTCATAATTGTTTTTGTTTTAATTTGAATACTATAAACTATAGCCGAACAACAACAACAACCGAAATTCTCACGCAAATTAATCAATAAAATTCTTCAACAAAAAAAAAAATTTAAATAGAAAAAATCTCTTGACAAAAAGACTGTAGCTGACATTTCTTGGCCAAAAAAAAACTTGTTGTTGTGATTGAAAATTTTTTCCCTAGAAAAAAAATCGATGAAAAAAGATTGGAAAAAAAGATTTAAATATTTTTTATTCAGATTTTCGAGTGCAATCGAATGATGATCATAATGTTAATGACTTTTGATGAAACTGGAACTTTTTCTTTTCAACAAACAAACAAACGAAAAAAAAATCATAACAGTCCTTGATAATAATAGT